ATAAGACAAAATTACAAAAATGGTCTATATGGTTTGGCGAAATTGGCACATATAGTCCAACTTTAAAAAAATAGACAAACTCAATCCTTGTGTTTTTTCGATATTGCAGAAATGGCCCTTTCGACACACGGCGTCAAAAACATGCCATTAAAATTCTATAAAATGACATTTTTACCATTTATTTTTTTCTTTTCCATTTTATGTATTTTATTGTTACTTCCCTAAACTGCAGGGATCATTTATGTAACTTACCCCTTTTCTTCCTTACCCTTCTTCCTCCTTTACTAAACCACCATTTTTGTGATTAATTCCGCCACTTGGAGCTAGGGGTGTGCAATAAACCGCATAAACCGCCCGCACCGCACCGCATAACGCGATTTAAAACACTCGCGGTGCGGTTTGCGGTTTGTATTTTTGTAAAACCGCATTATGCGGTGCAGTTTGCGGTTTACGATTACAAAATTGCGGTTTAAACCTCACCGCATTGATAAAATCAATTAATGATTATATATATATATATATATATATATATATATATATATATATATATATATATATATATATATATATATTCGAAAATAATTTAACAGGTCTTAAATTAGTGACATTATCTTAAGATTTTTAAATTTAATATTAATTAATCCAAAATTTAATGCAAAATTTAATGGAGTGACCATATTTTTTGTCTCAAATTCATTTTCAACTAACATTCAGTGACCATTATTTTATACACTATGTTTTCTTAACTTATGTATATTCATAAGTAGTTAATGACCACAATTCTATGACCACCAAATTTCTTAATGACCACTTAGTGAGCCGTTAGTGACGACAATGATAGTATTGTCATTAAATTTAATGTAAATAATTACTCAAACCGCAAAACCGCATAAACCGTCAGCACCAAACCGCACCGCATAATGCGGTTTTGAATGTTCGCGGTGCGGTTTGCGGTTTCTAAATAACTCAAACCGCATGTGCGGTGCGGTTTGCGGTTTTGGCTCTAAACCGCACCAAACCGCACCGCGCACACCCCTACTTGGAGCATCATTTGAGCAATACCCACCTCCAACGACGCCCTCCTCTGCCAACGCTAGCTCCTCTGAACCATCCCTTTTGCAAACGAGCCCTAAATCATCACAGGTCACCAATACATCTCCTTCCTTTGTCTCCGGTGACCCCAACAACGTTCGATCTCCTATCTCTTCCCCTGCAGCCATCGACACCACCTTTTCTTCCCTTCAAGTAAAATACTTCCTCAAACACATTTAATTTCACATGAACATCTCAATTTTGTAAGTGTCCACCCTTATTTTATCAAAAATAAAAATAAAAATAGAGAATCCAACATACTCAACCATTTATCTGGATTGTTTTTGCCTTTCAACCAATATTTCAAATTCAACCAAGTGTCTTACCTTTCAACCATTTTGTTCTTGATCTATACTTGCTTGGGGAAAGAAGAAATAAATGGACGACGACGATGTACAGTTATAGAGAGGTAGACTTGAAGATGGAGGATTTTTAGGGTTTGTTCTACAAATGCACAAATCTAGGTTCGATTTCAGATTCAACCAACTTCAAATTCGTTTCCACAATTTTGGTAGGGTTTAGTTTTAAGAGGATTTAAGGTTGGACGATTTTGTTAGAGTTATTTTAAGAGACTTTAAAGATGGATAATTTTTTTGCTCTCTCAAAAATATGGGTTTATGTATAGTCTTCTCAAATCCTAGATCTAAAAATTGTGTTTAGGTTTTAAAGAACATGATTTGTTCTGGATCTTTTTATTCCAAAGAAGATGATGGATTTTTGGAAGAATTTTTTATTTTGTTCATAGTATGGATGACTTTAGGTTGAAAGTTGAAGATGAAGGTGGTTTGAATGGTTTTTGAAGATCAAGACGATGGTTGTTGAATGTTCTTCGTTATCAAGAATACTCTGCTATATTTAAAATTACATAAATGGTCCCTGTAGTTTCGAGAACTAACAATAAACTACAAAAGTATGGAAAAGAATAAAGAAAGGGTAAAGATGTCAATTTATAGAATTTTAACGATATGTTTGACGCCGTGTATTGGAAGGACCATTTCCGCAATATCAACAAAACACAAGGACCGAGTTTGACCATTTTTTTAAAGTTAGACTATATCTGCCTATTTCCCCAAACCATAGGGACCATTTATGTAATTTTGTATAATTATGAATATATTTCTATAATAAACCAAAACTTAAAATAAGCTAAACTCAATGACTAAAATATAAATTACTAAAAATTATAAAAGTAAAAACTTTTTTTGGAGAAGAAAAATGTTAACAGCAAAATTATACGTTTTTTTTTTTTTTTTTTTTTTTTTTAAAGTTAACCCACTGTATTATTATATTTATGGGGATAAGATTCTCACATATATACATATACATAAAATAATAAAATAAGTTCTATATTTCAAATAATCATAGAATTCTAGAAAAAGCGGGGTTAATGTTACAGGCTGGTGACGATAGACCCCACACTACCACCACCATCATCAGTCGCTCCTAACCAACGGTCATTTCCTCTTTTGAATAACATAAACCCTAGTCTAACCCACCGCTCTTACAAAACACCAACAAAACTCGACCGTTTGTCTCTCTCTCTCTCTCTCTCTCTCTCTCTCTCTCTCTCTCTCTCTCTCTCTCTCTTTGTAATAATGGAGATTGTCTAGCAATTTCAAGGCCCAGAAGAAAATCTCTGTAAATCAAGAGCAGGGAGACACATAAGTGATTTCCAATGGGCTGTTTTCTTGGTTGTTTCGGTTCTTCAAAGGATCGAAAACGAAGAAAGCAGAGGTACAGGGTTATCCCTCGAGATCAAGTAAGAGCAAATCACTTCCACTTTTTCGTTAAAAACAGAATTTTGTTTAACTTCGAGTTGATTTGATTTTTTGTGGCGTGTTCTTGTTTTCTAGTGTTTGAATTTGATTTTGAGTTTTATGATATCTGATTCGTTAATTTCATAGCTACTCATGACAGCTTTAATTGTTTGATTTCTTCGATTTTCATTTGATTTTCTGGTTTCATTTTATGATGCACAAAATTGAATGGAAACCATAAAATATAGATGAGAAATGAGGAAAACGGAGGTTAATTTTTTATTTTTCTGGAAAGAGCAAGGAACCACATGAGAAAATGAATGTGAGTTTTTTTAGTTCATTAATCGAAATTAGATCATCATTTTGTCAAATTTACGGATAGTTAAAGTACATTCTCCAAAAAAGCATATTGTAACCCTTGAAAATTGGTTAGAATCAGAATTAGGGATGCCTGTTTTAAAATTGATTATCACAAATTCAAGTGGTAGAAGCAACATCCAAACACAATTTATCTGATTCTAATTTTTGATTGATTTGTGTTTCAGTACCCTAAAATTCAGAACCTTGTGCAACCTGACGTATCTTCCGTACAAAGCATCAAAGACAAGCCCTCTAATTCACTTTCAGAAGCAAGGTAACTCATGGGTTTACTAGTTTCTTCCATTTGTTAGTTCAATATTCGGGGGTTTCTGCTCTAAACCTTATTAATTCTTTAAATTTCTCATTGTAGCGGAAAGAATGAGGAGTCATTGAGTATAAGCACAAGGAAAAAAGTGACATTTGATACAAATGTCACCACCTATGAACATGTTCAAGTCTATGATAGTACAGAATCTTTACTTGAAAGGAACGAAAAGGGCGAAACGTTTCCCAAGTCAGCTGAAACCCATTCCGATTCCGGTTCCGACATTGTCAATGCTGTATCCTACCCTCCAAATTACAGGTATGGAAACTGCCTTGAAAGTGATGATGAAGTTGAAGATTCAGATCAAGAGGATGAAGACGATGAAGAAGAAGAGGATTACGATGATGAAGACGGAATTATTTGCCAAGAAGTGTGGTGTGAGTCGATTCCGGTTCCATCGGCAGAATCAAGAACGGAATCGTCTTCATTGGACAAAGTCGGATCCAACAGTAATGCACGCGACAGAAGTGCTTACGTGATTCCGGTGTTGAACCCCGTAGAGAATCTTTCCCAATGGAAAGCATTGAAAATGAAAGAAACTCCTCCACCAACAAAGGCATTGAACTTCCACCGGCAAAAGGAGAATTCTTCTTTGAATTTCGCCCCACCTGCAGTCGATTCCAGCCTTTCGAATTGGTTGGTTAACACACCACCAAATAACAAGGGAATCGGAATTGAAGCGATTTCCTCTGGAAAAAATTCGAGCGTTGAAGATAGACCGATTTTGGGTGCTTTGACAGTAGAGGAGCTCAAACAGTTTTCAGCATCATCTTGTACACCAACACCAAAGAAATCATCAAGTAGAAGCCCTGATGATATGCCTATAATTGGTAGTGTTGGAAGCTATTGGAGCTCAACTCCATCATATAAAGGCATACCAACTAGCAACAGCAAGTATAGAGAGGTATATATCTATAATAATGTCTGTGATTTATTATTTGTTGTGTACTTGTGTTTGGGTTAGCACTTAGCACTTACTAATGTTGGTAATTTGGTATGCAGGATAAGAAAGTGAATTGGCACAATACCCCATTTGAAACAAGATTGGAGAGAGCTTTAAATGGAGGTGTTGCAGAAGCTTAGAAGATGTCTGTTTTGTTTGGTCTACTGCAAATCTGAATCTGCACTTCCATTTGTGTGTGTGTATGCTTTTTGGTTTGGATTGTTGTGATTTTTGCACAGTTGGTTTGTTGTAATTCTTTTATTGGTTTTTGGTGGTTATAAATACAAAGATTGGGGTTATCTTTTTTTTTTTTTTTTATCTCTCTAATGGGTAAAATAAAAGTTATACATTTTCCTTGTACTTACTTTTCTTATCAAGTATTGTATTTATTAGAAATTATTACTGATTCATGTAAAGGACTTATGTATAACATGTTTTCATTATTCAAATATAAACATAAATAGATGCAATTAGTAAGAGTAGTATAACATGTTTTCGAATCAAGATTTGGAAAAAGAAAGTTTCAAAAAGACATTGTAAAATTTACATGAGAAACTTGAGAAAGCTTTTTCCGTCTACTGGTTGCCCATACTTCAACCTGAGGAGTCTTCATTGCTTTTCTTTCTTGTCTAAATCGTTCTCTTTCCACAATCCTAATAACCCATCTAGGCCTTCCATAGCGAAACATAAGCCATCCAATACCCAATCCAATTACACTCCCAAATCCATATCCCAAAGCCACAGATTCCCAAGTAAATCCATTAAAGAAACCGGAGTCGTCGTCATCATCATCTTCAATCGGTATCGGAGATGATGACACCTCATCATCTCCACAGCTCTTTGTCAAAGGGAATCCACATAACCCCATGTTCCCTTCATATGAATTGTTCCCAAACGTATTAAACTGTCTACCTTCAGGTATGCTTCCTTGAAACTGATTTTGGGAAAAGTTTACGACCGAAAGGAATGTCAAAGTCTTTAGTTCTAAAGGAATTTTACCTACCATCTTGTTCGATGAGAGATCTAAAGACTCGAGCACTCTAAGATCTCTCAGGTGTATCGGAATTCCTCCCGTGAGACTGTTATGGGATAGATTCAGGAGCAGCAGTGAACTTAATCTTCCGATGGTATCCGGAATTTCTCCTTGGAATTTATTAACCGAAAGATCTATTGTGGTGTAGACGACAAGGATTCTCTCCAGTTCGCGTCTCGATCCCTTCACCACTAGCACCAATTTGTCTTGATACATGGACATAGACGAATTTCGTCCCATGTACAGTGGTCCAGATGAGTCTCCATTTACACCCATCATCGCTTTAAAGTTCTTGAAGTAATTTTTCGGCAAATTCCCACTGAATTCATTGCTGGACAGGTCAAGAATTCGCATCTTTGGAAACGGCGTTTTGTTGTTGGAATTGTCTAAAGTGCCCTTGAGTTTATTACCTCGCAAGACCAGAACTTGAAGCTCTGGAAGCGTATCCACCCAGTGAGGGAATGTTCCCGTTAGCATGTTGTTTCCCAAATCTAAAACTTCCAGTTTCCTACATTTGATCAAATCCCAGGGAACTGAGCCTTGCAGTCGATTGCTGTTCAAGTTCAGACTCCTTAAGTCGTTATTTTGATCGAATGTTGCAGGAATGTTTCCACGGAAGCCATTCAACCGGAGATCCAACACTTGGAGGTTGCTGCTGAAATTACCCAAACATTGAGGAAGCACACCACTAAACCGGTTATTCCCCAGGTCAAGAATCTGAAGGGATTTCAAGTTGCAAACCGATTGAGGGACTGGACCCATGACCGAGTTATTACTTAAAGTCAAATATCTCAGTTTTTCACAATGGCTTATCGTTTCTGGGAAAAAACCCGAAAATTGGTTGTCATGAAGCACAAATATCTCCAAATTTCTGAGGTTACCAATTGAATATGGGATTTGACCTTCGAGCCGATTCTCGACCACGTAAATCTCAACAAGAGAGTTCATGTTCCCCAACTCTTCAGGAATGAAACCAGTTAGCAGGTTGTCATTAAGGTACAACTGTTCCAACTTGCTAAGGTTTCCAAGTGAAGCCGGGATTTGACAGCTAAACTCGTTGTGGCTGAAGGAAAGTTCAATTAGTGAATCCAGTTTTTCGAGTTGTGGTGGGATGAAACCCGAAAGCAAGTTTTCATGAACATCAAGGATCTCTAACTTGGTCAGGTTGCTAAGTGAAACAGGAATGGAACCAGTGAACTTATTATGGCCTATCATTAACACAATTAGAGACTTCATTTTTCCTAAGTCATCTGGAATTCGACCCGAAAGTTGGTTCATATATACAGACAAGATCGTTAAGGAGGTCAGATTTCCTAACGAAGGAGGGATTGGACCCGAAAGATTGTTTTGGTAAAGGTACAAAGTAGACAAGTTGGTTAGGGTTCCTAGGATAGCTGGAATGGGTCCTTTTTGGAAGTTGAAGGAAATATTGACGTTCACGAGATTGGCTAGTTTTCCCATCTCTTGAGGAATACAACCAGTTAACTTATTGTCATCCGCACGAAGATAAATCAATTTGGTCAAATTCCCTAAAGATGCAGGGATTGAACCGCTAAACTGGTTCTGGTTCAATCGAAGGGTCTCGAGACTCGTTAACAATCCTATTTCGGGGGGGATTGTACCAGAAAAATGATTACCGGAAAGATCGAGAAAGAGGAGTTTAGAAAGATAGGTGATCTCAGGTGGGATGCCACCGGAAATGTCATTTGTTTTGAGGTCTAGATGTGTAAGACTAGTGAAGGATGAAAACATGAAATAATTAAGTGTACCATTTAGCCTTGAAGACGAAAGGTTGAGTTGTTTTACATTCAAACGATCATCACAACGAACACCATACCAGGTGCATGGTGCAGTGGTTGTGTTTTGGTGAAGGAGTGACGACCATGAAGATATTAGAGGATTGTTTTGGTTGATGAAGCTGGTTTTCCATTTGAGCAGGGCTTCTGCTTCTGGTTTTGAGGAAGAAGAAGTAGTAACGGATGGAGATGAAAAGATGGATATAGTTAGGAGTACGAAGAGCAATCCCATTGATATTTGATTTCAGATAGAAGATCTTTTAATAAAAAATTGTATTTATGGGTAGTAGATTATTTATTGTTGACTTTGGTCAAGTCTGCTTCTTGACCTCATGGAATGAAAAGATTGTTGCTTACTTGCAACCCAAAAAAAGATTGGGATCTCAATTCTCAAGGCCAGGGAAATTTCAAACACTTCAATAATCTTTTTTTTTTTTGAAACAGTAAATATTTTATAAATAATAACGTCTACATGATTAGCAAGAAGCTAGATCACGAGTAATACATGATAAACTTAAAATACATAAATTTAGACAAAAGGAGATATGCTCCACTCAATCCACCTAGCTTTCACACCTTCAGTTCTATATTTGAACCAAGTATAGTTCTATATTTGAACCAAGTATACGTCTGGGAAATCACTTCATCCACCACTTTTATAGGGCACATTCTTATTTGTTTAAATATTCTGTTGTTTTTTGCCACCCATATGAACCATATAGTCCATAGAAAGCTGCATTAATCCTTTCTTTCTTACGTGGACAACTTCCCCAGTTCGCCACAAAATTAAGGAGATCTGCCACACCATTGAACCGAGTAATTGGTATTTCACATTCAATAATCATATAATCAAATAATGATTATTAAAGTCAGGGGTAGTTAAGTAAATTAAGATATATTCTTAACAAATGGATAGAAACACGTATTGGAATTGGATTTAAGTGAAATGGTGATGTGAGACTGACGGATTTGATGAGCATGGTTTTGGTTGGATGTATTAGGGGTAGGTAGGTTTGAGTCATTTGGTTTGACTTCTGTTCTATTTATTTGTTTTATTGTGTGATTTTTGTGGCTTCCACGCAAATATGCGGCCTTCAGCCACCTGCCTCTGGCTTGTCATTTATGTCCATATTTACAAAAGTGGTATCTATCACATGTTGATTAGTCGTTGCTAAAAAGGTTCAAGAACTTTGAATGAGTTTCTGTGAGGGTATTCTAAATACGCAAAGTCTCTATGTCACCATCATGTGTGTTCATGTCATTGGGTTCTTTTCCATACATATTTGTCATTATTTATAATGTAATATGTCAAAAATACGTCTCAAATTCTAAACTTTAACCAGTTGTGGCTAAAATCTTTCACAAATTTTAAACGAGTTTTTTGTTTTGATATTTCAAATTTCCAAAGTCTTTAAGTGACAATCATGTGTTCACAATGTAGGACACTTTTCACACGCACACAGTTCTTGCTATTTATTATACAATACATACTTTTAGGTTATCGATCTTAGAACAAATTTCAATAATTTAACGAGGCATAATGGTTATCAACTCAATGTGAACTCGAAGGTGAATCAATCATGGTAACTTTGAACGAGTTTTTGACAAAAGGATTAGAAATTTGCAAAGTCTTTAAGTCGATTGATGTGTTCACAAAGTTGGGTTCTTTTCCACGTATATATTTCTCAATATTTATTACTGTATAATACACCACAAATGTGTCTCAATCGTTAACTAGTCATGGCTAAAATGATTCACGGACCTTGAACGGCCTTCTCACCTTTGATTCGATATTTGCAAAGTCTTTAAGGGACCCTCGTGTATTCACAACATTGAGATCTTTTCCACACTCATTTCTTATAATTTATTATGTTACTTGAACAAATTACAAATAATTTAACAAGGTAAAAATGACTATCAATTTAATGGCTAACATTGTACTCAAAGGTGAATTGAACCCGCCAGATAAATAATTTTTCGCTTGGTACATATGGAATTAGAAAGCCTTGTGTTGATACGAAGTAAAAGTAATTAACAAAAGCCAATTGCACTTGATGTAGCCCATAAGGGCAAATTAATAATTTACTTATGCAATTATGTTAGGAATGGTTAATGAGTTTGGTATTTTTCCTGCTTAACTTTAACTCTTTTAGTACATATAGTTTGTTTGATCCTGTAATTTATTTAGCAAGATGAAAATGAAATAGAAAGTTATCTCTCAAACTTTCTCCTCCTTCAATCTTCAATTGTAACATGGCGTCTATTGATTTAACATGTGACATCCCCAAATTCACGGCCAGAAAAGACCGGTTTAAATTTATGCTTTTGTAATAATTTCAGAGTAATCATTTGATTAAAAGTGTTGCGGAATTTATTCCCAGAAAAACATAATCAATATGTTATCAAATCATTTCCGAAGAAATGTATTTTATTCACTTAAACCGTTGGGATGTCATTGTCAATACAAAAACATAAGCATAAACAAAACTTACATTCATTTACACTAGTGATCTACTTCTCTTTTAATCTCTCAGTGTAAAGCAACTTCATATCGATACCTGTGATACAAATAAACTGAGTGGGTCAGGCTTGGGAGCCTGGTGAGCATATATTGTTTTCAACCCACAATAAATAATAAACTTATTAAGTTCTCAGTCAATAATAAATTTATTAATTTCATCAACCAAAAATAACCCTAATTACCCATTCCCATTATCCTCACTTTACATCCCTAAAACAACTATCACAAGGGACCTAGCCTAAGGATTTTCACAAGGGGTGACACCATTGCTTTGGGGGTTCCTCAGCAAGTTATGTCAAATAAAACAAACATCGGGGTGACAACATTGCTTTCCCTCAGCAAGTTATGTCAAACAATACATCCTAACATAAAACAACCAACAAGGTGACAACATTGCTTTCCTTCAGCAATTTATGTCAAATAGGCACGAAGTCACATCGTCACCATGTGCTAGTCCATAGCTCTTATTCATCGACGGTATTTCCCACGGGAGTTTCCCCCCCGCAATACATGTCAATGGGTTTTCCATACAGCTGATGAACATACTAAGGGGTTTTCCCCAGCCTTACTTGCCCTAAAGGCACTCATGAGGGGAATAGAGTACAGCGAATGAACACTTAAGTCCATTAACACCTACAGGTTACGAGCCTGCTAGTGTTCCACAGACCGTCAAAACAGTCCATGGTTGTCATCCATACTCTGCTGAATGACGGGGGTCTTAGAGTACAGCGAATGAACACTCAAGTCCATTAACACCTACAGGTTACGAGCCTGCTAGTGTTCCACAGACCGTCAAAACAGTCCATGGTTGTCATCCATACTCTGCTGAATGACGGGGGTCTTAGAGTACAGCGAATGAACACTCAAGTCCATTAACACCTACAGGTTGCGAGCCTGCTAGTGTTCCGCAGACCGTCTAGAACAGTCCATGGTTGTCATCCCTACTCTGCTGAATGACGGGGGTCAACGTTGGGTAAGGGATTTTCTCATATTGCACCACTCACGCCAACATCTGGGTAAAAGCTTTTCCCATATTTCACCACTCACTTTCAACTCATGATCTATATCACTGATCATCTCATCTATCCAACTCACTTTTCATCACACACTCACTATTTAACTCATGATCTATATCACTAACTCATGAAGCTCGTCCGATCACTTCATAAAAGAACAAAGACTCCAAAGCTCTTCCAAATAAAAGTATAGGGAAAATACTGATAAAGTACTCCCGTACGCTCCCGTACCCCGACACGTAATAGTGTCAAAAGGAAGAACTAATGGATGAACACATAGTTCAAAAATACCTAATGAACATATAGTTCAAACATACGTACCGATTACAAGTCTACTAACGTTCCACTGGGCTATCTAAAATAGTCTGTGACCGTTGTCTATACTCTGCTAGATAACTAGATCATCTTAAACATCGATACCTCTCATCAATTTTTATTTCATCACACATCATCTAATTCATCTACCCATGTTTTACCCAACATATTTGTAGATAAAAATATATATACAGTTTAAAACTTGTATAAAACATCAATTCAACAGTCACCTCAAATAAACAATTAATATATTTACACGTAGCACGTATTTTAAGGTAAATACTTCATATCTATGTGTAAGGTGAAAGTGACTATACACTCACTTGATTTAACGATAACCGGGCAGCACTTCGTTGCCTAGAATGATCGTTTCTAATAAAACCGGGAGTTTTATTGAGAAACCGGGCTCTGCGAAGGGTCGGGCTTCAAAACCGAAAAGATAAATTTTACGGCTTCTCGGGCACTCCGGGACATGTTCCGGGCATTGGAAATGATATCGGGGCATCGGGGGAGGTCAAAATAACCAAAATATTGAAAACGGGGTAAAAATGAGCAATTTCCCAAAATTACCCGGGAAGGCTCGCATGCCTTCTATTTATAGGCTGCGAGGTCCGAAGTCGGTTGATCAGAAGGGCGAGTCAGCGAGGCGGGTGGCAGCAGCAGTGAAGGCCACGTACTCGGATCCGGAGGAAGACACGCGTCGGACACGGGGCGCCCTCGGATTGGACCTGCGAAGCTCGGATACGAAGCGTCACCGTACACGCGTCGGATGTGCGAGGGCCGAGACTTCGGTCGAATCAGGAAGCGACACGCCTCGCCAGCTGGCCTCGGGTGACTCAGCAATTCGGACACATGGCGCGCTACGAGCGAAGGTGACGTGGCATTTCCGGGTGAAGCTCATCCATGCGAAATTTCTCGAATTTTGTGCCAAAATCTTTTAAAATTCATAACTTTCGCATACGAGCTCCGTTTTTGACGTTTTTTATATGCACACGTAGGTAAAATTACGCTCTACAACTTTCGTTTAGACTTCGTCGGCTACTTTTGACTTTGATTTTTATATTATTATTTTTTAACAGACCGGGACAGGAAATCCGTTAAAAATTCATAACTTCTTCATCCGACGTCCGTTTTCGTCAGACTTTTTACCGTTGTGCTACTAATGACGAGACCTTCGATTCTCGTTTAGGTCGTGTCGGCTAAAAATCACTCGATCTAAAATTCGAGTTTTTAGCTGTCTACTGCTAAGCTGAAACTTCGAAAAATCATAACTTCCTCATACGAAGTCAGATTTTGGCGTTCTTTTTATCGAACTTCTCGGCTTAACGAACACTACGAGTTTCGTTTAGATCACTAAGGCTAAAAAGTAGTTTATCAAAA